CTGAGTCGCCAGTCCTCCTCTGGGCCCAGCTTCCTCTGTCCCATTGGCTGTGCCCTGTGGCCAAATGTGAAGAAGAGCAACAGCTCGAGGGAGTCAGGTCAGTGTGGAGAATCCCTTCATTTCTAAAGGCCACTCACAGCTCAGGCCAGGCCCTTTGCGTCTCAAGACACAGGAACGCTCAACTCTGCCAGCCTCCCAGAGTCTGTCCCCAGTCCCAAGTCCACGAAAAATCAGGAAAATTATCGCCAGCCCATCTGACTCCACCGCGAGCCTCACAAGACGACAACCATGCCTGGTCCTTAGTAGACCTTCAGTAAACATCTCCTGGGTAGATTGGATGGATGGATGGATGGATGGATGAATGGATGGATGGATGGATGGACGGACGGCCAGATGGACGGATGGATGGATGGTTGGAGAGGTGGATGAGTCCCCACATTGCAGTCCGAATGGGTTCAAGGGCAAGTTCTGTTCCTAACTCACTCTGTTAAGTCCTCTCCTTCTTCAGGCCTGAATTTTCCCATATGTAAAATGAGATTGTTGAATTAGATCACCTTTAAGCTCCTTTCAGAGTCCCTGGATGGTACAAACCGTTCAGCTGCTAACTGAAAGGTTGGAGGTTCAAGTCCACCCAGAGTCACCTTGAAAGAAAGGCTGGGCAATCTACTTCTGAAAAATCATTGAAAACTCTGTGGAACACAGTTCTACTCTGACACACATGGAGTTGCCATGAGTCAGAATTGACTTGACGGCAACTGGTTTGCTGGTTAAGCTCCTTCCAGGTCTCTTGCACTGGAGCCAGCTGCGTCCAGGTGAGGAATCCTCAGCTTTTCAGCAAACAGAAAGTGTCACTCATGTGGTTTTGCTACTACTGGATTCAAGTACTGGGCCCTTCCTATCTCTTCCCTGAGGGGTGGGCAGGCTGGGAGGAGGGGCCGCTGAGCTTCTTTTGAAAAGTTTGGAGTGATGCTTGCAGAAGTTCAGAGTGGGGCTCTGAAGCCAAACAGCACAGGGCTGACTCTGACCTTTGTCCTTTCCTGGTCGTGTGACCTTGGAGGAAGTGATTTCATCTCTCTGAACTCAATTTCTACATCTGTAACCCGGGGGTTGTGATCACACACCTCGGTGAGTTGTGAAAAGCATTAAGCGAGATGACGTACAAGCACTTGGCACCATGCCTGGCCCGTAGTGAGTACTCCCTAAGTGGTAGTGGTGGTTGTTTTGGGACCACCCAGACCCCCTGTTTGGAGACTGCCATGCATTGTCTCATCATCAACTGTGGGCCTACTGCCTAGTACACACGTGGGAAGCAGAGCCCCATTTAGGGTAGAAGGGCTGACCTCGAACCAGAAAGAGCTTGGGGGAAATTCTGATATGGCTGGGAACACCCTCTTTGCCCTTCCCATCTTCAGCTTTTTTCCTACCTGGAATTCAGATACAATGGCTGGAGACCAGGCAGCCACTATGGACAATGAAGATACCTTGAGGATAGAAGCTGAAAGTTGGAAGGAGCCTGGATCCCTGATGGCCATGATGCTGCCAGGGCAGCCCTGTATTGCATACCTCAAGCTTCTTTCTAATAAGAGATAAATAAATCTCTCATCTACATAAACCATTGTCATTTAGGCTTCCTGTTTCATGTAACCAAACCTAATCTTAACTGTCCCCATTTTGCAGATGATGAAAAACAATGCTCAGAGGGTGAAGGTCACACAACTAGCAAGGACTGAGTCAGTATTCAAATCCAGGTCTCTGTGGTTTCTGTCCTGTTGATTTTATCAAACCGTTTGCCACCCACAATGAGAGGGTCCCTCCCTACAAGCTGTCTAACATGACCAGGGCTGCAGGGGCAGAAGAAGGGCAGGTGCTATCACAGAAGGCTTCACAGCAGAGGTTGTATCTGAGTTGAGTCTTAGAGAATAAGATAGTAATAATAACTGAACCACTCTACCAACTCTTCAGACAAGAGGCAAGTCCAAGATGCCAAACTGTGGCCCTGGGTGAGGCATATCCACTGAGTCCAGCCACAGCATTAGGGCAAGACAATCCCCAATTTGGATGATTTTGCTAGGACTCACAGATCTCAGCATTCGATCATACTTAACAGCTAAGGCTTATTGCAGTGAAAGGACACAAAGCTAAGTCAGCAAAGGAAAAAGGCACCTGGGACGAAGTCCAGAGGAAACCAGGAGCAAGCGTCTAAGAGTCCACTTCTGGTGGAATCACATAGAATGTACTGTGTGATTCCAACAAATTGTGACGATACGTGTGAAATGTTGTCTACCAGGGAAGCTCATTACAGACCCAGCACCCAAGGTTTTTACTGGGGCAGGTCCCATAGGTACCATTTACCCAGCAAGTACCAAAATCCCAGACTCCCAGAAGGAAAGCAGGGGTTCTGCATAAACCATAGATTTGCACAAACAGTTAAGGGGCAGGGAATGATGGGAACCCTCCCGAAATCCAAGTTCCCACACCCAGACAAGGGCCAAGCTTGCAGGCCAGCTTTTCTAGGGATAGCAGCCGCAGGCCTACTACATTAACTCTTTTGCACAGGGCGTTATGCCTTTTTCCCCATTTCTCTTTTTGAAGTGACCCAGGAAATGGTTTGTGGTGCCACAGATCCAGATTTGTTGAGAAAACTCTAGTTTACCATAGAGATAATTTCAACAAATTTCCAAGAAAATAACCTTGAGTTGTGTGAGCAACAGCGGGGAGGAGAGGGATCCAAAGAGTCCTACGAGCACTAGACTGGGAGTCAGCAGGGTTAGCTCTTCATCCTGAATGGGCCACCAACTCAAGTTCCAACTTGGCCAAGCACATCCCAGAAATGAGCCTCAGTTTCCTCTTCAGTGAAATGAAGGGATTGGATTTCATCTGTATCAGTGAGCTCTCCCGGCATGTTAAACCACCCTGAGAATTGGTGGCTTAAAACAACAAAAAGTTCTTATTTCTCACAATTTTGTGGGACAGCAATTTGGGCTGAGCTAAGTGATTCTTCTAGTCTTGCCTGGGCTCACTCATGAGGTTGGGGCTGCCTGGCAGCCAGGACAGCCAGGCATTTCTCCTCGTGGTCACCATCCTCCAGCAGGCTAGCCCGGGCTTGTTCACATAGTATCTGGGCAGGGGTCCAAAAGCAAGAGTGGGAGCTACCAGGCCTCTTAAGGCCTAGCCTTGAAAGTCATGTAATGGAACTTCTGCTCCATTCTATTGGCCAAAACAAGACACAAGGCCAGCCCAGATTCAAGAAATAGACTCCACCTCTTGGTGGGAGGAGCAGCAACGTCACAGTGCAAAAGGGTGTGGATACAGGGAGGAGTGGACATTGTAGGCAGTTTTTTGCATCTACCATACTATCTCCCCTGTGTTTCATTCATTCATTCATTCCACACTTGTACATCCTTTATGTCCCTGGGAGGCACAAATGGTTTGCACTTGACTAACAAGCAGCCTTGGTGGTGCAGTGGTTAAAGCAATCAACTGCTATCTGAAAGGCCAGCCGTTCGAAACCCCCAGCAGCTCTGTGGGAGGAAGATGTGGCAGTCTGCTTCCGTAGAGATTGGCAGCCTCAGAAACCCTATGGGGTCGCTATGAGTTGGAATCAACTCGACAGCAGTGGGTTTACTAACCTATCGGTCAGTGGTTCGAGTCCACCCAGAGGCACCATGGAAGAAAGGTCTGGTGATCTGCTTCCATAAAGATTACAGCTAAGAAAACTCTATGAAGCAGTTCTCCTCTGTAACACTTGGGGTGGCCATGAGTCAGAATCAACTGGACAGCAGCTAGTTTTATGCCCCCAGCATTTTACCAGATATTGGGACAAACAAGTGACCTTGCCCTCATGGAGTCTCCAGATGAGTGGAAAAAAAATGACCAAACCAGCACGTACCATGAAGTTAGAGAACGAGCATTGATTTTGTAGATATTTCTTTACACCACACCCTTTTCCATAAAGGATTTGAGTCAAACTGCCAGAAAAGGAGCAAGCATAAAATTACGAATTTTAACCAAAGTAGAAAATTAAAACCAAAAGGGAAACGAAGGTAATGTTTACTAAATACTTACCATGTTCCAAACATCTTACACACATTGTCTCAGTGTATCTTTTCCATACTTCTGATGTAAGTATTATTATTCTCCCTTTTATAGGTGAGCAAACTGAGGCTTACTGTGGATAAGTGACAGGCCCAGTTCATACAGGTCCTAAGGGGCAGAGCTGAGAGTCAAACAACTGAGTCTGGCCCCAAAGTCCATGTGCTATTATTATATAACTGTTATATATACCCAAAACCCAGGGCTGTCAAGTCAATAACGACTCATAACGACTCCATAGGACAGAATAGAACTGCCCCGCAGGGTTTCCAAGGAGCAGCTGGTGGATTCAAACTGTCAACCTTTTGGTTAACAGCTGAGCTCTTAACTACTGAGCCACCAGGGCTCCATTGCATATACAGTTGTTGTAAATGAGCTTCAGATTTGACTGTGAGCTTCCCAGCAGCCTGGGGGAAAAGGGAAACTGAACATATTACCCAGTTTGTCACTAGACAGAAAACAGCCAGATATTTCTTTGAGGGGAAGCAAAGTCCTTCCTAGTATTGATATTTTTTTTTTCTTTCAAGTGAGCATTGATTAAAGGGTGCCTGTGGGATGGAATATATGGAGTCTGGCTTGGACTGTCTAAGTTGGGTGACCCTTTGGCTTATATGCTGAGTGAATGCCTGTTGTTTCCTGAAGAAGGCTCTGTTCTGTAGTGACTGTCTGCCTCTGTGTGTATGTGTGTGTCTGTGTGTGTAGGTGTGTAGGTGTATAGTATGTTTCTTTGTGTCTCGCTCTTTCTCTTTTTATCTCTCTCTCTGTCTCATTCCCCTCTCTCCTTCCTTTGCTCACACCCAAAATACAAAGAGTCCCTACTATTTGAAACTCTGCCGGTTTTTAGGAAGTGCTTCTGTGTCTGGAGCGTGCGCAGCAGACCTGGGGGCCAGGACTTCCTCCCTACACAGGGCTGGGCTCGGCTGGGCGGGAGGGAAGGGGCCTGCTGCAGCTGAGGTGACGCATCACTGCCAGGCAATCCCAAGCAGCAGCTGGGTCAGTGGGCAACTGGAACACTGGCTTCAGAATGGACCTGTGCCACCCAGGTAAGCACCCAGAAGGGCAGGGGCCTGGGGAAGAGTGTGAGTGTATGGGTGTATGCAAGAGCTCTGCCTAGCAGGGATGGGCAGGGGAAGTGGGGGGCCAGGTAGAAAGGAGCTGTCCCTTGTTCCAGCGGGGAAGCTGGGGTAGGTGCACCCAGAGAGACCCTCACCTGACACCCAGTGGTATTGAGAAAGTTGGAGCTGAAGCCCCTGCAGAAGAGGCTTATACTGGTAGAAACAAGCCCAGAGAGGGCCAGGAGTCTCCCAAAGCCACACAGCACTGCCGAGGAGGAGTCAGATTTAGAACCCAGCACCCAGGGGTCCTGCTGCCTCTCCAGGCAACGCTGGGTGAGCTCTCCACCAGTGGGTAGGGGAACAGTGTCCCCAAGAGCCCTGCTGGGTGCTCCCCCTCCAGCAAGACAGCACCCATGCAGGAGAGGGGGTATCTGCACTGTGCTCCAAAGGACCGACCAGCTTTGACTGGAAAGGGCTGGCTCAGGAGGGAGGCATTCCCCACCAGTGGGAGCACTGGTGGGGGGGGTGCCCCGAGATCCGGAGGTGGGCTATATTTCCCTCCCAGGCCCGAGCCTACTTCTGCTGCACCCCAACCCTAGACCCTTGGAGCCCCCAGACCTGCTCCCCAACCTTGGAAAGTGAGCCACTCAATTATCTCTCAGCCACCTCCCTAGTATCTGCATTCTGAGCCCAGGTGGGGGTTCTCAGCATGTGGGGAATGCCATGGAGGGCAGGGACCGTCCTGGGCGCCTCGGTCACATCCTGCAGGCCAGGCCACAGGACACACCCAAGAGACAGCCGAGCATGAGACTGGGAGCCGGGAGCTTTGAATAGGACCCATCTGCTGGGTGGCAATCTTAGGTCAGTCCTATCCCGTAAGGCTTGTCAGCTCCCTTATCTCATAGGAACTTCATGACCTCTATGAAGACACTTTTGTCTCATTTAACAGAAAAGGAAACTGAGCCTCAGTGGGTTGAGTGACTTGCCCACTGCTCTGTGGGAATGCAGCCCCTGATCCCCTGAGTCCCTGGTGGACTCTTCCGACTTTGGACCATTCTGACCTGGGAGGGGTGTTCCTTATCTCAGTGGGCCCCTGCGAACTCAAGGCCCTGAGGGCACACTCCAGGCTCTGGGGCTTGGCTACAAATCCCCTCCTCCACTAGCTTTCTATGTGATGGATTCTGGGCAAGACGGCTAGCTTCTCTGGGCCTCAGTTTCCTTTTCTGTAGAATGGGATAACAGTACCTGCCTCACAGGGTCCTGGGAGGATTAAATGCGTAAGTGGATATGAGGCACTCGGGAAACCCAACAGCATGCAACACGTCAGGTGAGCTCTGACTAGGTGTCAAGTTTTGTGGTAGGTGAGGGAGTGCAGCTGTAAACAAGGCAGACGCCGTCCCTGCCCTCATGGGCTTACACTGAAGCAAGACAAGAGACGCAGGAGAAGGGGTGGTCAAGAAGGCATCAAGTGGAACTGCCATTTGTGCAGACTCGAAGGAGACGAGGGAGTGGATATGTGGGTTCCTGGAGAAACATATTTCAGCAGGGAACAGCCAGTGCAAAGCCCAGAGGCAGGACTGAGAACAGTAACTTGTGATGATGTTGGTGACGATGATGTCTGGGTGGTGCTATGGCCCTGGAGCCCCTGTTTGGCCCTTGGCATGTGGGGGGGTAGCCTTTGGGGAGGCTCAGGACAGAGTCAGTGCAGCGGGGGGGCCGGGAATGAGAAACAGAAGACCATCCCCCATAATTAGGATGCCGAGTCTAGGGTGAAAGAGGAAAGGTGGCTTCGAGGTTGGAACAGGAGAGAACGGGACAGAAGCTTGTGTCTCTGTGAGGCCGAGAGAAGGGCAGGAAGAGCGGCCAAGTCACTGCGCTCTGAGTCTCTGTCAGAATGTTCTAGCATTGCCTAGAACTCCAGAACAAAAGGGATGGGAGGAGTTGTCCAGTTCCCCAGGTCCAGATGGTGTCAACTTTGCTTAGCAACAGAACCCTCTCTTCAAACAAAGCCTAACACTGACAGAGCAGTTGTGACCCCACCCACTGGGCCTCCCCCTCGCTCCCAGAGGTGGAACCTGTGGGTTCCAGGGAACACAGTTAGAGAACCAGTGATCCATTCCATTCGACAGATCCCATTTACAGACGGGACAAAGGAGGCTGAGAGAGGGAGGCAATCTTGCCAAGGCAGAGGTCAGACCGCATCCCCATCTCCTGACTCTGTCCAGTGCTCCCCCCTCCACCCCTGCTTCTCCAGGGGGCTTTTGGGGGCAGATGGCTTGTACAGTGTCCAGGCTCAGTGGATACATCTTAGGTGGCGCTTAGAAGGCAAGAGGAAACCCAGGGAGGGGCAGAGCCTGGCTACCGAGCAAAGGAGTGGCAGAGCTGACGTGACAGTGAGATGGGGCAGTGAGGTCACCCTGCCGAGAAATAACACCCCCACTGCCTGTCTGGCCACCATTAGGGTTTCGTTCTTTTGGGTTTTAGCATACTGAGGTCCCTAGGGACAGGGACAGTTGTCCCTATGATGCAAATGAGGAAAGTGAGGCTCACAGAGGTGAACTGCAGAAGAGACCTGTCTGGTCTATGTCACAGGGCCAGTAAGTGACAGAGCAGGGACAAGAACATGATGTGCTAGGAAGAGTAGAGCTCCCAGGTTCGCCTGGGCTGTAGGGAAGTGGAAGAGAGAAGGGGGAGGGGAGAGGAGGCGGGGAGAGGAGGGAGGGGAGGCCAGAAGTTGAGTCACTGCCCTGCTTCAGGCTGGCCCTAGGAAGGAAATAGATCAAGTGAGGTCAACGCAGGCAATCTGTTGGGAAATTTGAGGTCTCAACTAATTCATTCATTCATTCATTCATTCATTCATCCTATGAACATTCTCTGGTTTGCAGGTCCTGTGCTAGGTGATGCTGAGGCTAGCAGTGACCCAGTGGCAGTCCTGGCCCTGGGGGAGCTTCTGGTTGGGGTGTGGGGGTGGGGGGACAGAGCCTGCAGGACTCTGGCACAGGGTAGATGTGCAGGGCAGGGGCCTGGAGTGTGGGAGGAGGCAAGTCTTTCCTCCTGGGAGGGGGATATGGGAAGACTTCTTGGAGGAGGTGGAGGGAGGGAAGGAGAGAGGAAGGGAAGGAAGGGCATTCCTCTCTTGTCCAGTCTTGGTCCTAATCGCAGCTCCTCGTGGCCGGCAGACGTCCCCCTCTGGGCTCAGATTCAGCATCTGTAAATTGGCACCTTCATCCCGGCCCCTCCTGGGGAAGTGGGGAGCACATGGGTTTGGAGTCAACCAGACCTGGCTCAGGTCCCAGCTCTGAGCCAACCTGCCAGTGGTCACGATGGCTCCCTTCTTTCTGTGGGCCTCTGTTTTCCCACCTGTATAATGAACAGGATGACGGCAAAGGTCCCCCACAGAGCTGCCTCCCCCACCCACCCTGCGTGGGTGTGTGACATCCCAGAAGCAGGTCAAGCCCCCTGCCCCAAGGCCTGACTGAAAGGTGAGAGGTCCAGGCAACAAAGCCACAAGGTGACCAAAGACAAGCTTTGTGTTCGTGCAGAGACCAGGGCCATGGTTAAAAATAGTGACAGCTCAGCTGGGGGAGAGGAAGCTACACGCTGCGCCCGCAAGGCTCCCGGGCTGGGGCGGAGACTAGCTCCTCTGGACACCCTCTTTCTGCCCCCCTGCCACCCACTAAGAGCCTTTGAGGGGCCCCTTCCTTGGGGTCTGAGATAACACCCTCCTCCCTGCCTGGAAAGGGGAAGCGAGGCAAGCTGTCCTGGAAGCGAGGCTGCAAGCAGAAATATTTCTAAAAATACAATGGGAAAGAGGAAGGACAAAGGGGAAGTGGAAAGGCTCTAGGGAGATGGTTCCAGCTGGCTTCATTGCCTGGCACACGAAGCTGAGGTGAGAAGGGCAGCCACAGTCCATTGGCAGGAGTGAGGCCAGTAGTCAAAGGAGGGCCTTTGCGAGGTGTGACAAGCGCAGAGCTAAGTGATGAGTAAACAGAACTCTGGTAGTGGTGATAGTAGTTATTATTATTATGGGGTCCCTGGGTGGCACAAATGGTTAACACACCCGGCTGCTAACCAAAAGTTTGGCGATTCAAGTCCGCCCAGAGGTGCCTCAGAAGAAAGGCCTGGCAATCTACTTCTGAAAAATCAGACATTGAAAACGCTATGGAGCACAGCTCTACTCTAACACACATGGGGTCGCCATGAGTCAGAATCAACTCAACAGCAATGGTGTGTGTATCATTATTATGTTGTTTTTATTGAAAATATCTCTCCCATGAGCCTGCACCAGTGCATGAAACTCCATCATCACCAGGTCTGCAATTAGAAGTGGCCACTCTCAGGCTGTGTCCTTGTCACCCTCCCTGAACTTTAGTGTTCTCATCTCTGAAATGGGGGCAAATCCTGGTTTTGAACAAATGGTAAGATAAAGGGTCAGAAGGCACCCTGTGACTGTGACAGACGCAGCAGTCCAGGGGCCATCAGCTGTGTCTGGTGGGTTCAGCTGGGCTTGGCCAGCACAGACACAGGACCCCAGGGGACTCGGACAGAGAGGATTCCTGAATAAAATTGTCAAACCACAAAGGGAGCCCCTGCTACAGAGCTGTATGACGAAAAGCTCAAGCCCCCCTTGCTATTCCATGTGGCCCACTCCCCAGCTGTGTCTGTTCCCATCCACTCCTGCCTCAGTTTCCCCATCTCTGCAATGGAGGCTTTGTTTGACACCTAACCAAAAGAGGGCTCAGATTGTAGGCACTGTTCTGCTTCTTGCCTTTATTCTCAAATGCGTAACCATGGTTAGATTTCCCGTGTTAGAAATGCAGACTTGGGTGTCAGATGGGCTTTTGATGATTTGTGTGGAGGTATCTGGCTTCAGGAGATCCACATCAGGGTTGTGGCCTCAGAGCCCCAGGTGAGCCTGGATGTGAATCCCAGCTCCGCCACCCTCCAACCTTGTCAACTTGGGCAGGTCACCTAGCCTCTCTGAGCCT